AAAGTTTGATAAGTATATGAGTGATAAGGGCTGGCTTTAAGATTTTTTTTAAATTTAGTTTAGATGATGGAAGAGCCAAGATGGACCAATAGATCTCATGTTGTCCCAAAACGTGTTATTTTATATGTTATGTTAATTTACATTTAATTTTGTACTTTTTGGTGGGCTGACGGATAAAATAGAGAAGAGAAGATGACTAGAGAAAATGTGTCATGTGTGTCACACTAGGGGAATTCAAGATTTTTTAAAATATTGCCTTATAAGATTAAGAACTTAAAACTTGTATACTATTAAAATATAGATTATTAGCTAAGATTTTATGCTATACTAATTGATATAACACAAACAAACTATGTAGACTACGAGAACCATTAAACAACAGTGGATCTAAATCTTGTTGTATAGACTAATGAGAATCATAAAGGGAGAAGACAAATAATCACTTTACATTACACAGGGTCTAAACCTTGCAGTACAGATGAAGTTTAGATAAACAGGTGAAATTGAGAAGTAATTAGTGGAGGCACTACTTATAATTTCACAATGTGCTTGGGACTGTTAAGTATGAACGGCAAAAGGTCTTGGGAAGAAGAAACAGTTTATTCATAATGAAAATCAGAATGTATTGAGATCAAAATGAGGAAGGAGAAATAAAGTCATAGTTATAGTCAGGAAGCAGAAATCAAAATAAAACAGCAGAAAATGTGTTATAGCCATAATCAAGTAGTTTGGAGGTCAAAATAAGAAAGAAAATGTGTTAGTCATACTCATAACCAGCAAGTTTAGTGGTCAAATTTAAAAGAAGAAAATCTGTTAGTTATAGTCATAATAAGGCAGTTTATAGGAAAAAATTAATAACAGTAATTCAACTCATAATCAGAAAGTATGATGACAAAAAAAAGAGGAAGGAAATAATTTTTAAGTCATAATTAGGAATAAAAACAAATAAACAAGAGCAACAAAGCAAAATAGAAAACAGACTGAATTAGATTTACAAAATTTTATTGTATACCCAAGAGGAAACAATACTTCTTAGTATGTGGACAATACACACACACAATTGTTACACGTAGTTGAAGTAATATCTGGTTATAATAAAAGGTTTACACAGAAAATCTTCTCAATAACTTTATATTAGATGAAAAATAGGTTTTAAAGCAATCAGTAAAATTATGTTTGGATGTGCATGAAACTGTCACCCTAGTCTCTCTTTTTCTTATCATTTTTAATAAGGTTATTATTTTAGGTGATGCAATAACTATATCAGTACAACAGAAATCTATTATCAAACTTAAACAATTACTTCACATACTATCTGCTTTTTTACACTCACAATACAACTCTAATGTTTACTCAAAGGCTTTAAAAATGTGATAAACAGTGTAGGCAAGGACAGTTACTTATTACTATGATAAATATTTTGGAAGCAGAAAATACCCTGACAAAATCAAATGAAATACTACTTATCCAACACTATTCAAAAAAATCTACAAGGTAGACAAAAAAAAATGATATCAAGCTCCTAATCATATTTCTTCCCAATTATAATTATTTGAACTTTTAATTGCCCAAGATGATTTTTAAACTCATACAAATTTCACCCAGCTTTTACCTTTACAAAGAAACAATTAGTGAAAGTAGGAGAGGTAAATGGGAATGTTACTATATAACAGTGTTCTGGGAACCATTCTGCATGGACAACAGAAAAAAACATGTTTCCATAACCAAGAAAGAGTAGTCTTCTTTAAACGTTCAGAGCACTATTGCTCAGAGTAGCCATTAGAAGTAAAAACAATTTATCATTAGTTTCTTTGAGATTAATCGCAGGCCTCTGCTTGTGAATGAGTAAGTTCTATCTTATACAGAGGCTCTGTTCATCATTCGCCCTTGCTATGATCTTAAGCAAAACAGACTGGACAACAACATCACATTCTGAATGGGGGATATTAGATTATCATATTGTTTCACTCATGTTATCAACCTTCCTTATACTTGAACATGCTCTAAAAGAATGTGAAGTTGTCGTCCACTCTAATTTGTTTAAGATCATGGCAAGGACCAATGATGAAGTCTCTGTATAAAAGAGAGCTAACTCATTCACAAGCTAAGGCATGAGATTAATGTCAAAGAAGCTGACAATAAAGTGGTTTTAATTTTGTGGAAAGAATACAGTCAATTGGGAGAAACAAATTTATCATAGCCATTACTTAATGTTTTGTTCGGACTTCTAAATGATCTTGCACATGCACCTGTTCCCCTCATTTATATACAATACATAACCTGTTTTATGTATTATAAAAAAAATAATACAATTTATTGAAATGTTTGTATTACAATAAATTTAAACTATGTTTAATCAAAATAAAAATTATTACAGTCTTTTGTGTACTATTTCCTACGAGCATTATTTTATTGTAATCTCAAATGAAAAAAACTATGATTAAATTGAAGAACACTCAAATTACTGGAACATATAACTAAGTGAGGGATGCACTAAATCCCAGAAAATAGTTTACCAAGTTCAGCTTTTTAACTTGCTAACAAGTAATGTTGGATTTCTGGCTATAATCTGGATACACTTTCAGTAAACTAATTACACAGTTAAAGAAAAAAATGCTCACCTTTGTCCCAACTGAGGATACCTGATTCTGGAATTCACTTACTATTGAACCATCTTTTACCTATTTTGTAATAAAGCAAACACTACCTATTAACAGAACAATGGAACTCATGCACCATAGCCAACTGATTAAACTGGATTACTGAAAATTATATGCAATGTGAAATAGCAGCCAACTAAAAATATAACTTGTGCTAGAACATAAACATAATTTACTTAAAAATTATATATTCACATAAACACTCCAAAAAGTGTTTATAGAATGTAAAATTAAAAATAAAATTGTGTGCACCATTAACAGCAAAAATATATCTGTTAACTCTTTTGCTACGGGTTTGGTCAAATTGACTGAGTTCATGACCCCATATTAGCCTTTCTAGTTTCCATACTATAACTTCTAATATATTTTCTGTACCTTTGCGAAATTTTGTAAGCTCTCAGTAATTGTTAAGTCATTTGTAAACAAAAAACAGAACTTTTAAAGAAGTATTTTCACTAACAATTTCTCCAAGAATATATGAAGTCAAAGTGTTGACTGCTCCAAGCACAAAGTGATTTTCATGTTAAGATTAAAAATACTTTTCTTCGTCTGAAAAATCTCAAATTTCATGTGCATATTTTCCAAGACCTCATAAATAAATTTCAAACTTTTCTTTCAGTAAAATTTCATATTTTATCTGTTATTTTATCTACCCTAACTCCGACATCATAACCACCAAGAAAATTGTAACATGAAACTACATTTGTTTATCTTAAATAGCTTTAAACTCATAACAGTATACATTTGTTTATATTTATATTTTATTGTCCTTTGAACCATGGCTAACTGATATTCCCACCATAAAATTTGTAATCACTTGGTCAACGTGAAGCTCATGCTACCCTATCAAATTATATAATGCACAAGCTACTCGCAAGTTGCTCCCAAGCTTACCTAATGAGAAAAATTTGACCTTTTTTTTTCATTTTACCTAATCTAACCTTAACTAATAAAAAAGTTTCTAATTTTTACACTTTAGTTACCTTTATAACAATAAGTAAAGAATACACATGAAAAACAAGAAATAAAGTACTTACCCAGGCCTTATTTTTGTTTGCTGTCAGCTATTGATGACACTTACCTCTACTTTTTTATAATAATGGTAGCACTGCACTCATTCTTTTATTTAATTAGATAATGCACCAAAAAATACAGAATTATGACATGCAAAAAGCAGACAATGTCCCACAGCTATTGGAATTTTTCTGCCTTTCTATGTGACAAGAGCTGTTAACAATTCAGCTAAGATCACTGATGTGATTCCCATGGAATAAAGTTTGAACTGGAAGTGAAACTAACAATTCTTTGTACAGAAAACAATGTAATATAATACATCATTTGATAGAGTAAAACCTTGGCTTTCTGTTGGTTATGAATAATATAGCATTAAACATCAGAGAGAGCTATTGGCAATTTCTGAAAGAGAGGATGTAACAGGTGGACATGACAAGAAGGGTCTGATTTCCTATTTGATGGCTCTGCTCTGTAACTAAATAAGATTGAAGGCTACAAAATTTATGCTTTGCTGGAGCAATAACAACATTATAATGAGTAATTTACATAAAATTTTGTACTTCTTGTAGGAGTGGTAAATAAATTAGAGAGGAGGGGATGCCTAGAGAGAAATGTCACAATTCTCATACTAGGGGAAATTCAGGATATTTTGTTTATATTGTCATATATAATTATGAGCTTACAACTTGTATATTATTAAAATTTGGATTATTAGCTACATTTTAGTTTCAAATTTATTTGTATACCATGATAAGAAAGTAGTTTAATTAAATTTTGAATGTAACTCACTAAAACCTTGTGATATGTGCACAAAAAGATGCCTGTAGCAAAAGAGTTAATATAATGCATATACAGTTTTCAAAAGTATGTTACTCAAAATCAATACACACTACTCACAAAATAAATTTCAACTGGTGATCATACTGCAAGCAAATATACTAGCCAACCAGTACCTTGGCCATAAAAGCACTATAAATACATTTCATTGTATCTGTTATATTCAAGTTTTGAATATAAAAATGAAAAGAAAGCTGGAAATAGTTTGGAGAGAGAGAGAGTGAGATAATTCATATTATAGATAAAAAATAATCAAAAACTTCTTTACCAAAATCTCCACTAGCTCTTTTAAGAAAAATAATAAACAGCAAAGTTTACCAGAAAAAAATTTTCAATAGGTGAAATATTATTTGCTCTTGCACTTAAGGTTGCTAGAAAAAGAAACATCAACCAAAAAAAACTTTGAAATAAACAATTACAGAAAGTATTTGTATTTACAATCACTAAATAGTTTCATAATGTTTGCAGGACAGTTTCAGTTTCCAAATATTTTCCTTTATCAGGTTGTGGTTTATCTCAATATGTTTTATGAGCTGTGAATCTGTACATTTCTTAAATCTTATTGTATCATCTGTGTTATTTAGGACATTTGATGGCCATTTAAAAGTTGTGAGTAGAGAGTAAATAAACAGATATTTGTCTTTGTCTAATACCACTGACAGGCATTTGAGTGACTGTCTTTATGCTTTTATGGAAAGTTTAAACTGTCCTGCAAAATGTGAAATTTCATTCCAGATAATCATTTTAAACATAGCCATGTTAAAGAATAGGTTTAAGCAACCTTGAACATAGCTATATTAGTGACTACCTATGTTAGGCAATTTTAAACATAGCCACATTAGTAATTTTCTGTGTTTAAGAACTAAGTGTTGCTGTGTTAGTGATTAGGTAGCTTTCCTACTGAAATTCCATTTTCATTTCAATATTTTTAAAATGGTCTAAAGACATTTTTAAAAGTTCTAGAAATTTATTATTCTAAGTTGTAACACAAAAACTTGAGCAAATAATAATAATAATACCTTTTAGAGAGTAGCAAACTCTTAATGATGACTTTGGATTTATGAATCTAATTCAATCACCCATAATCATTAAGAAAATTGTTGCACCCATTGTTTACCTTAATTAGTCACATTCTGCAAGCTCAATTTACAAATTAAACAGAAACATAAAACTTAAAATTAATTTAAACTCACAGGAGTAACAAACAATGTTTGTAAAATACATGGGAAATGAATGAATAAAAATCACAATTTACCAGGTATGAACATAAATTTTCCTTACCTTTTCATTAACTGTCTCTGCAAGTTCTACTACTTTCTGAGAAGCAATACTACCAAACTTCACAGCCTAAGGAGAGAGAGAGAAAGAGAGATTAAGTTTAATATACACTTTTCAATCAGTAACAAATTTTAAAAATCTATCTACTTTGAAAAAATTTAAGATCATCAATTTATATTTAACTAAAGTTTATCTGCCTTTGAGGCAGTTTAAGAGAGCATTAAAGAAGTAAAACCACTGAGACACATATATAAAATTTCCTACATTTCAAAATTCACTGTACCATAAAAAGTATCCACATGCTAACATTTATAAAGCACAATAAATTCCATTTGATGTGTTGGATAAAAATATGTAATTTTTTGTTGTATGAGTCTATGATTTCATATCATTAACAAGCTAAAGACAGGTATTCAGATGGCTTCACGTGTAACATTTCTATAGAAAAAAATATTTAATTTTGACTATTGATATAAAATGTCAGAAATGAAACTTCAAAAACATGTCTTTTTTGGTTATTTTATCCATGTTATAGTAGCTTTGAAGGCTCCTGTATACTAACCACATGCATTTTCCTGTACAATACCTTACACACTAAATATGTTTTCCTGTAAAGCACCTTAAAAACTAAATATGTTTCTCTGTATAGCATCTTACAAATTAAGTAAGTTGTTTTCCTGTATAGCATCATACAGACTATGTACATTTTCCTGTATAGCATCTTACAAATTAAGTAAGTTTTCCTGTATAGCATCATACAGACTATGTACATTTTCCTGTATAGCATCTTACAAATTAATTAAGTTTTCCTGTATAGCATCATACAGACTATGTACATTTTCCTGTATACGAACTTACAGACTAGATACATTTTCCTGTATAACATCTTACAAACTAAGTATAGGAACTTACAGACTATCTACATTTTCCTGTATAACATCTTACAAACTAAAAGTTATTCTGTAAACACAGTTTAACTATATTAATAAAAATGTATTACAGTTTTATAGTTGTTACTCCCATAGTCTGTTTTGTGTATGTTTTAAGATTTCTTAGACAATTTAAGAATATTTGTCATCAAAACTCATTATTTTCTGCTCTCAACTAGCATCTGGACACACTTCAGTACCAACAAGAAACTGACTAACAAGTGGAGAAAGACAGTTTACTGTTAAAGTTCAGGTTAATGAGTCTCCCATAAAAAATAGAAAAACCTAATCAAAAGGGATCTTTTGGAAATTTAAAAATGATGAATACTATAAATCAAATAATAAAAACAATTCAAAGAGAGAGGGAAAGAAAATCATAATCCTAGTTTTCAACGTGTCTCAATCTTCTTCTTCTGCTATATTAAAATTTAATTAATAGTAGAAATTTAAGGACATTATACAAGAGGTTTCTTTATTCAAGCTGGCTTATTATCTTGAACTGTTTTGCAGCTAAGCATTAGAATTATTTGCTGTGAAACAGTTTGGAATTATAATGTAATTGTATGATAAAAATCATTGTATATATATTGTTATTATTGTGAGTGATGTTTATACAATCACTTTTAGACCACTTCAGGAACAATCCAGTAAATCTTGTTGAATGTAATTTGGAAACACAGTTATGAACTAAAGAAATAAAAGATCTTTGACTTACCCCTTCTGAAGCTTTGAAAGCTAATTTTGTTGCTCCTATAGAAAAATTTGACCATCCCTGGAATTCAAAGAATAAAAATTCAAAATTTAATGTTTTTATATGGATGTTTCTTTTATACATACATGTTAAATGATCAAAACTTTACTAAATAAAAATCTAGAATAATAAGTGAATAACAATTATTATTATGAAAGAAAAAAATAATGCCTGAGAAGCTACTTCTCTTTTTCATTCACCATAAAATTCACATTTCTATTTCTTTTCAATCGTATACACCAAATCTGTAACAAAAAATTTAAGAAACTAAATAAAATATTGAAGTTATATCCTCACAACATGTTAACAGTGAAATGTTGTTATAGATACAATTTCTGTGTTATGAAAGGACCAACATGGGTATGATATGTAATTTTTATGGTAAGAACAAACCTCATAATAACCCAACTAAAATTTCTCTTTCAGAATTGCTGTAGAAATTGTTTATGCAACTTTTTCTGTATGCTCCAAGTCCTATATAGAAATTGATTTCTCTAACCAAAATACGAGTATACCAATCTTTCAACACCTTTCCCAATCAAAAAATTGGCAAAAAGATATAAGCAAATTTGAATCAAAATAAGCTCAAGACAATGTTATGCTTGAAGTGCTTAGGGTGAGTTTATCAGAAATAAACTTAAATGAAATTATGCAGAAACCCTGAATATCAGAGTTTGCCCTTATCATAAACAGATAATATTTGTCTTATTTCAGAATTATGTTGTAGCAAACTTACAACCAAATTTCTGAGCAGTTTAACTAGACAAAAAGATTTTGAAACAAAAGTGTAGTTATTTTTCATAAATTAGCTTCAATTAATATACTTACTTTGTGAAGCAATATGGGTAAGTAAAGAAACATTGAGTAAATGTGAACAAACATCACAGTATAATATGACAATGTAGTCCAAACACTCATTCTCAGCCATTTATATAGATGGAGGAAAGCAAAACTGATTGTCTCCAACACTACTGAACGATGTATAACTTAGCTTTTTAAACATTTTGCCAAATAACCAATTAAAACATTTTGTATGTGAGTATATATATACAGGCAGTGAAGGATGATATGGATGTGGGCTGTTGTGGGTTTGATCACCCACATCTTGCTCTCCTAACTTGTATTTCTTTTGATAATTTTATTTAATTTTTTATTAATTTCTTCATACGAGACTGGTGAACGGATATTAAGAGTGATAGACGGTGTATCCCCACTACAATGTGGGCCCTACTTCCACAGTCACTTCCAAAACCCAGAGCATATTTTATATCCCACATTATAGCCTGTACCTTGAGGATACTTTTAATTTATGCAGCAATTTTTTGTTGCTATTGTTTGGGTTTTTGTTCATGTAAATGTCATTTAACACAGGTTTGAATTTGCTGTTTTTAACACAGTCTTTCCTTTTGATTTTATTTTATTTGACTGTTTAAGCATTAATTTTCTACATACATATGTTTATTAATGCTTATGAAATAACTATAATATAATGCTAATTCTTTATATCTTTTTTGTATTTACTTTTTTCATAATTTATTTTAAAATAGTTTGGTTTGTTTGAATTTCATGCAAAGCTACACAAGGGCTAGCTGTGCTAGTCATCCCTAATTTAGCAATGATAGACTAGAGGGAAGACAGCTAGTCAACGCCACCTACTGCCAACTCATGGACAATTCTTTTACCAACAAATAGTGCAATTGATCATCACATTATAACACCCCCACAGCTGAAAGAGCGAGCATGTTTGGCGTGACAGGGATTCAAACCTACAACCTCTAAGTTGCAAGTCGAGCATCCTACCCATCAGACCATGTCAAGCCTTTAAAATTGAATACAATTGCTGCATTCCTAATTTTTCTCATTTTATTTACTGTAATTCCTATCTTGCTTTAATTACACCTATAGCTTCACACACTATGTTTCTACATGTAGTCCTAACTAATGTTTGTTCCAACTCAAAGTTTAAAAGAGGGTGCACTATTATCAAAGTATATTTACTGTAATTCCCATCTTTGCTATTTACACCTATAACTTCACACGTTTCTACATATAGTCCTAACTAATGTTTGTCCTATTTCAAGGTTTAATAGAAGACACATTATTACCAAATTTTATGGTACAACAGTTATAGAAATGTTTTCTACTGCTTGCAATACAGCAATATTTAAAACTATAACTGGCCTTGTTTGACTAATTCACAATCATGGTCTATAATCACCTACAATGTGTATACTCTGCTTGGCTGTGTTCAAATAATGCACAATCAAAGCATATAAACACCAACAGTTTGTATGATATGCCTGAGACACATTTTTGCTAATTGTACAAAAAAATTAAAAATTAACATTTAAACATATTTCTCAGCTAATTATACTTTTAGTAATGAGAACAGATTTACACTTTGGCTTGAAAACACATTTTTAAAACATTAACATTGAACCATGGTTTTTAATACTTTCTACATATTTTTTTTTGTTACCTTCTTTGTGGAAACTGCATCAGAAACAAATCGAATGGTAACAGCCATTGTTATAATTTAATCTGACAGAGTACTTTTCAGTTGGAGTTCAGTTAGTGGTATCTGTTCAAAATTTAATTTTATAACAATATCATTAGGATTATTGGGCCTTAATAAACTGTTTAACTCTTTCAGCATGGGCTCAGTCCCTGGGACCGACCTCGTAGCCATATTGTGCTTGTTATAGTTTTTATGCTATAACTTTTAAATTAGTAACCAAATACTAACAAAATTTCGCAGATTATCAGTAAACAATGCTCTCATACACAGAATATAAAATTTTTTTTATTAAGTCTTAAGATTTTTAATGCAATGTTTTTCTCATGTCTATTTTTTCTTTTCACATGTTGCCTATCTATCATGCAAAGTAATATTCATTTTAAGGTTAAAAATACTTTTATGCATGAGAAAATTTTGAAATTTCACATGCAAAATATTTATAATGTTGAGATAGTTATCAAACATTTCTTAAGAAAAAACTTTATATTTTATCAGTTATTTTCAGTTATTAATCTCTGTATGGGATCAGTAAATGTGATCGATCTCACAACCACCATAAAAAATTAGGATATAAGTTATGACTCTTTCATTCTAGAATGAACACAAATTATAACACGAAAACATAAATGTTTAGTCTAAATAGCTTAAATCTCATAACATTATACATTTATATATATTTATTATTTTTATTATACTGACCTTTCAGCCATACCTGGCTAACAATACAGAAGTTACAATGACAAGTCGCACGTGCACTCATGTTACTGTATCAAATAACATAAAACTGACCTTTAATTTTTACAAAGTGACCTGTCTTGGCTGTGTTTTAGTAGACTGGTATTTTGTAAAATACAGTCACATTTCAATTATTATACATTAGATATGTATATAGATTATTGCTATTTAGAAATAAGTTCTTAAACATATTTTTCTTAAAATATAGAACAGTAAATAAAGAAGTAAAGCAAACAATTATCTCTTCTAGTTATGACATTTGTACACAGTGCCTTTCAAAATTTTGCTCGTGGGGGATATGAAATGAAATATTTTTTTTATGTTTTATATATATATATATATACAGTTGAATAACCAAAAAATTATAAATTATGATATCAATACCATAGAATTCCACTATAATTTATCAAGCTTAG